TAGGCCCCATGAAGATGGGAACTTGGTGGTGGTCACTTCTGGTCCTCAGTGCCCTGCAGGGCGTATTATATACCTGATGAGTAATGACAGAACCCCCAGGACAGGATGAGCCACTGAGCCAGTGGTTCTATAAGTGTAGACCCAGGACCACAAGCAGCAGTACTTGTTAGATAGGAACTTGTTAGATAGGAATGTAAATTCTCTGATTTTGGGTGTGGGACCCAGCAATCTGGGTTTGAACCAACTGGGCACTGGGTGGGATTCAGGTGCACCCAAAAGTTTGCGAACCACTGGAGGAAGCAGATGCCCTGCTATCAGATCAGTGTCCAGTGTGGCAAAAGGCTGCCTGGGCCGCCTATAAAAGGCACTGGGGATGAGCAAGGCCGCGTCTTCAAAAGCAGCAAAGGGCATTCCTTCTCTAGGGAGGGGCGGGCCGAGTGCTTGGACCCTGGGCCATCACCCGGACCCCCGCACACGGCCCAACGTGCTGTTCGGCGGGCTGGCCACTGGAGGGCAGTGCGACCACGTCCATCGCGCCCGTGCCCGGGCTGCAGGCGGGAGCAGCCCTTGGAGGCCTGCCCAGGAAGACGGCTGGGCGGCTTCAGCCAGGAGCGAAGAAACAGAGGAAACACGGCCCAGGCACTGGCCTCGGGTCTTGGGCCCCAGCCGTCCTCAGCGGCCGAAGGGACCCCGCCGGCGCACAACCCCGGCCCGGGTATCTCCGAGGGGGCCTCCCTGCCTCGCCCTCCGAGGCCGGCCTGGTGCCTGGAAGGTTCGGAGTTGGCTCGTCTTGGGCCTGGAAAGTTCGGAGGCCCCGGAGCGCAGGACGCGCCGGGGAGGAGATGCCGTCAGGCTGCTGAGACAGAGCGCCAGGGAGGGCGGCGGCGGGACCTTGACCGCCTCCCCAGAGGCAAAGGGCAGCCTCCCGCGTGACCCCCTCCGAAGTGCAAAACAAGGCGGCCATCTTGGCGGCGCCTTAACCCCCTCGTGGCCGCGGCCCTCGGCCCAGCCGGCGAGGAGGGCTTGGGGTCGGAAGCCGCGAGGCCATGGGGATGGGGAGAAATTTCAGAGAAAACCCTGAACCCTGGCAGCTCCCCCAGGGGTGTTTGGGAATCACAACTCCTTAGCATCAGAAGTCCGAGCTTTTTAAAGTGAATTGGATTTGTTCCAGCCCCCTCCTTTCTTCTTGCCCCAGATTCCAGGAGCAGAAAGCCAGAGGCAGCAGAAGTCGCTCCTAGTGGTCATCAGGTGTTTGGGGCTCACTGAGCGTCTGGATCCCAGACAGGCGTGTATCCAAGTGTTGTATCTTGTTGCTCACAGCATGAAGTGCAGTCTCCTCACAGGCACGCCAGTCTCCGAGCCAAGCCAAGGACTGGCAGCCTGGAGCTGAACCGCAGTGGCTGCCTCCTTTCAGCCCTTCTCCACCATGAGGACTTTAACTGGCATTCTGAAAGCCATTTGAGGAGCCGTAGGCCCTCCAGGCCACACCACTCCTGTTGTCTTACATCTGATCTGGTTCACACGTTGATATTGTCTCTGTTATTTGGGTACTTTTCAGCTTCTAGAGTATTCTTTCTTCTTAATATCATCAGCCCTTCAAGGTCCAGCTTAAGTGTCAGCTCCATCAGGAAGCCTTCCTCCATTTCCCACCCCACCTCGGTTTTCAGCAGAGCCTGTCTTTTCCCTTCCTGCCCACCTGTAGTGCCCACGGCCTCTGCTCTAGGGCTCTCCTGCTCTCCTCTCTGCATCCTCCCCCACTGGACTGTGGGCACTGTCAGGGTCCCTGAGGGTTGGGACCCTGTGACTGTGGTCTCTGTGTCCCCCATGGTGCATTGCTCATGTAGGTCATTCAGGAAAGGGTTGTTGCAAGAGAATCATGAAGTTGTTGAATGAGTTTTGGTGTTGCAAACAAATTCCCAAACGTTTCGAACCTTCAGCAAAGGAACCTGTAATGGTGTTTTCTTAAGCCCTGTAATGGAATCCTTTTGTGTGTTTAATTGCTTTGTTATTTTTAGTGGAAACGTCAGGGTGCCTTAGGAACAAAAACCATGGGTCTGAGCTCAACCGAGAGGGCTCTGAGCCCAGTGTTGCTTCCTCTGTGTGCCTTGGGGTCGGAGCCCGTGACATGGGAAGGCAGGCGGCAGGTCAGGCCCGAGGACCATCGGAGGAAGGTCTGTGCATCTGACTGGGCTTGGGGTCATGATTTCAGGCTGAGATCTCAGGATGAGGCAGAAGACAAAGTGCCTTGAGAGTTGTGCAGAAGGCTAAAGCTAAAGGAAGAATCCTTTCTTTTCCCTTTTGAAAGAAAAAGCCCTGGTGCCCCCATGAAGGACTCCAGAAAACCCCTTTCATGCCTCACCCACAGATGACTTGCTGAACGCTCATTAAGGGAAAAACAAAGAGGTGGTTTTGTTTATTTATTTAAGAGGAAAAATAAATGAGCTGTGACAAAACAATTTGAAACCAGGCCCCTCCGAGACCTGGGCTTTCACTTCCTTGATGGGAAGTAAAACAGAGAATCGAATCCCCCCTCCAAATAAAAGTGAAGTTAATAATCAGACAGCTCGAGCCCCGGCCACATCCTGTGTCAGCTCCCTCCCTCCCTCCCTTGGCTCGCTGTTTATAGCTGCAGAGCCGCCCTCTGGAGCCCAGAGTTGCCTTAACTCTTTCCTCCCCTTTCGTCTCCAACCCAGGGAAGCCCAACCCTGCTCTAAGGCCGGTGGGCTCCTCACACCCTCTGATGCAGGCCTGGCCTTTGCAAGGCTGGCTCCCCCCAAGCCAAGCCTACCCACGTGGGCCTGGCCCCCACAGGGCAGCCAGCCTGCCTCTCAGCCTCTGGCTGATGAGTTTAATAGCCCAGCTTAGATTTGAGTGATGTCTTCCGCTTGTCCTGCACAAAACCCAGAGTGGGCACAGGAGGGCTGCACTCGGTACCTCCTTCCGTCTCCAGCCCTCCCTGGGAAACATCAGGTAAACCCATTCCTACACCAGAGTCAGGGCCTCTGCTCCAGGCAGCCTCCACAGCCTGCTGGTCTCCGGGAACTGCATTCTGATGGAAAGAAGCACAGGGGTGTTTGGAGATCCTTTGAGCTCTGAGCAGCTGGTCTGTGCTGAGAGCAGTACTCTGTGCCTGTCTCTGAGCTGCTCTCTGTGAAAACATCACTCTTTCTTCAAGTGCTTTCCCTTGCTGTAAGCAGCCACTGTTATAAGCAATGACCCTACAGGGTCGTCGTTATCCTCACTTTACAGAGCAGGAAGCGGAGGCTCAGAGGGTTAAGTACCTGCCCACAGTTACAGGGCTGGTAAATAGCAGAGCTGGGATCTGGACCCAAGCATTGTGGCCCCAAAGCCTGTGCTCTTAGCCCTGCACTCAACGTTGCACTGCAGACCGCTTTCTTCTCTGGGGCCACGGGGCTTTCTGAGAGCTTAGAATAATCCCATGAATGTATTTCAAAGACCCCAAAGCCCAAGAGGTTTCGAGAACGTTCAAACTTTGTCTTGGGCTCTCCTCCCTCCTTTCTATTTCTTCCTTGGGATGAAGGCACAGAGAACATGCAGTGGGGCCCAGAGGGCAGTGGAATGAGAGGTTGTGGAGGAGTTTAGGATGGGACAAATCTTTCACCTGCTGGGCAGGAGGTTCTAGAGCAAGAACCCAAAGACTTGGGGTGGCTGCTCTCTCAGGCACCAGACTACCTTCTGCTTACATTTCCCTCCTTGTCCCTGCCAGCTCTGGAGACTGGGTCCCTCACCTGATGTCACAAACACCTTCTTCTTGCTGAAGCTTGTCTTGCAGTCTCACCAGTCGCCTGGGGGCAAGTGACAATGGCTTATGAACTGGCTGTGTGGGCCATCTGCCTCGCTGGGATTCCTTCCTCTGCCTACCCAGCTACTTAGACTTGTTCTTGGAAGTGTGTCTGTTGCCAGGTCACCTTTGGTGGCTCCCTCTGAGCCGGACGGTGTGTCGTGCTGCCCCCTGGTGTCTGGATGCCATCATGACAGCTCAGCTGCTTAGAGCTCCAGAAGCTCCCTGCGGGGGGTGCTGCTGAGCACAGGGCCTGGTCTGTCTGTGCACCATGAACACCTTGCCTTCATCTTTGGGAGTGAGCCAGTCTGCTGAAGGTCTGCTTTCTTAGGATGCTCTTCCCCATTCAAAGCCATGGCCCAGAGTGGGCAGTACCCTATTTCTCATTTTCTAACTCAATCTTCGAATAGAGAGAAAGCTCTGGGGGCTCCATCCCAAGTCACCCCAAGTGTCCTGTTCTTCCCAGAGCAGGGGTGGCTCCTCTGGGGAGGGACGAGGATGGCAGTGGCTTCTCTGTGATACCCAAAGAGGCCAACACTCGGCAGGATGCCTGGCCCAAAGAGGTCTCAGAGAATGTATGCCTTGAGTCTTATTTAATTTAGATGTTTAAGTGAAGCATCTACAAATCAAACAGACCGCCCAAGATGGGGTGGCTCCACTGTGGTTCTGGGAGGCTAAAGGCCGTTTGCCAAAACTCCCAGCAATCGGACGCTTTATCAGTGCTTACGAGTGCTAGGGCACTTTGAGACCATTAATCTCATTTACCCTACACTCTGGAAAATGGGGTACATGTGATTGTCCCCATTTTCCAGGTGAAGAACTTGCCCACTCTGCTATAATGGCTGTCTGCTAGAAAAAAAAATTCATTTTGGTTTAAAATACATCGAAACCAATTAAAAAAAATTTCCCCCTGAGTTCAAAAGCAGTGCAAAATGGATAACAATCCCTCTGAATGTTTTTTTCCCATCCTGGGAGACCCTGAGGGGCAGGGCACCACACCTGGTCCTCAGCATGTGTGGGGAGGAGGGTTGGAGGCACTTTCCTGATTCTGCTGGGAGTTGGTCTTCCTGTCTGTTCTCAAGCCCTTCCCAGCTCCAGGCAGGTCTCCCCACAGCCTTATCGCTTGTCCAAGAAAACATGTCCTTAGGAAGTAAATATCCTGTTGCAGGAACCAATAAGATGAGAATCCCTGAGTTAAACTTTTTTTCAGCTTTTATGGAAACATTTTATTATGCAAAATTTCAAACATACGCAGGAGACAGAGTGGTATGATAAACCCCCGTGTGCCCATCACCAGCACCACCAACTCCTGGCCAATCCTGTCTGTTTAAATCATCATCTGCTTTCCCACCTCCCATATAATTTTGAAGTAAGTCTGATATATCAGGTCATACCACTTCATCTGTCAATATTTCAGTATGTATCTCTCAAAATAATGGACTTTTTACATTTACCCACACTGTCCTCATTTCGCTTAAAGATTAATCATGCCCCCTACATATTACCAAGATTCAGTGGGTATTGACATTTCCAGAACATTTTTTGAACTCTTTGTCTCTCTACTTAAAAAAAAAACAAAAACAAAAAAACACAGCCCTGAAATAAGAATTTTTCAGCATTTGGTCATATCCTTACAATAGCTTCTAAAAGGACAGATTTCTGAATCTGGGCAGAAACGTCTGGTTATCAATTCTCTAAGGCCAACAATCACTTCTTAAACTCGCTCCTGCTACAGCTCTCCACTTGGCCGGGGTCGTGCATGTAGTGGGTGCCAGGTCAGTGTGTGCTGAGTTTCACGTGAGGATGAACACGGGGAGGGTGGGGATGCAGCGCATTGAGCTAATGCAGGAAGACTGGAGTTCAGCCCCCTGTGTCCTCCCACCCACGCTCTGAGTGGCTGTCCTTGGCTTGCAGTGCAGCGCTCCACCCGCCAGCTGCCTGGGCCTCCTAGGGGACCCTCTTCTCTCTCTGACTCGGGATGCTTGACTATTTTCCAGTGACTCCGTGGAACCCCACTTTGTGGGGCCTCCAGCAGTCTTGGTCTTGCCAATTTGCTGCTTAACTTACAGCAACAGTTGAATGGGGGTGGTTTAGGGAGGGAGCTGCTCCCTGATGCCAAGCGCTTTGCTCATCTGTCCTCACGGCAGCCCCAGGAGATGGGTATTGCTGTCACTGCCATTTCACAGCAGACGAGACTAGGGGAGGGCAGGTGAGTGCCTTGCTGGCTTAGGAAGTGGCAGTGCCAGGATTTGAACGTGGTCATTGTGAGCATTGGGCACTCTCCGTCACAAGACATGGGTTCCCAAATGTTAAGACTCGTTTAGCAAACTGCTAGGCAACTTGGCCTAGGACCAGGCATTTATCCTTTTGAGGACAAAGCTCGACAAGTCGGGATCTGCAGTCACCACGCACTGTTCCCTGCCATGTTCACATCTTCCAGAACAGATATAGCATGACTTATTATTATACACACCCTTATTAGGAGATTAGCTTAGTTGAATGGAATACATTTTAGGTCATTCAGCCTCTAATTTCCTGGTTTGTCTTTTTCATGGTTAAATAATAGTTTGAGTCATAGATTACATGGCTGTGACAGGTTTGAAGGTTAGGAAGAATGGGAAGAAACTAGGCTGGGTATCTAAGGCCACAACCTAGACATTATCCCTTCAGTACATTTTGTCACATCTCTCAGTTTTTGATAGAAGAAGAATGTGACTTTCGGAATGTACAGAATCAGGGTCAAGTACTTAAGAATTCTCGGAGGGAGAAGGGCGGTGCGGGCAGTTTTCTTTGTCCCAGTCAGTCAGTCCATCTGCTTTTCCTTTGACTGAAATTTGCAGGAGCAGTTTTAGGTGGCCTAGTTAGGCTCGACCACTGTCCATGGGGGAACCTGCTTTGCCCACTGTGGACAGCCTGGGCATGGAAGCTAGGCACTAAGCCAAACTCACTCGCATGTTACTTTCTTTGCTTCTTGACTTTGCCTTGGTTTGCTTCAACTTTCTCCCGAGTCCTGCTGCCCTGGAGAAATGGAAGAGCAGGTAGAGGTGGTTTGATTAACTAAGGGAAATGGAAACGCTGAAGCAGACACAGAGGAGAGAGGCATTGGGCGACTCACGGAAGAAAGAGAAGCAACAGAAGGCTGAATCAAGAGGCCAAGCAGACAGAGGGAGAGGAACCAGGAGCGTTTTGTCCTGGGAGCGTTCATGGGGTTTATGGACACAAGACAGTGAAGGTGAAATTCAAGAAGCTGTTTGCCCTTCGTGGCAATGGGAAGATTGTGGCTATCATTGGGTCCCCTTGGGAATGCCTGGAGCTAAATTTAAATCACCTAGATTGTTCCCAAAATCTGCATGTATTGGGACTCCTCTAGCTTTGTGTAGAGTTGGTCATACCATTCTTCCTCAAACCCGTGCTGTTCCAGGAATGGTGTGTCTGTGGGTTGGGTCAGCCCTGGTCCACAGACAGGTGCCTGGAATAAGCCTCCCTAGAAGATGCAAAGCTGGTAACCCAGCTCCATCACACCTCACGCTTCTCCTTTTCAGATTCTCCAGTGAGCCCCCCGATGCACCATGTTGGAAACTGCCAGATTCTGCGTGGACTAGACTCGTTTTCAGCCTTGTCCCAGGAAGGTCAGCCTTCACTCTGCAGAAGATCAATGGTGGGGGTGAGTTGGGAGAACTGTAGGAAAAACAAGAGCAAGAAGGAAAGCTTGCTTTTCTAAGACTGAGGTGTTTGGAAGAGTCTGAAATCCACAAAAGCAGTCAGATTCAGAACACCCCAAGTGTGGCTGGTCAGGGCGAAAGCAGTTGTTCTGCATTCACTGCTGCCTCTTTTTCTTTCCTGGGTCTCTCTTTATTTTTAATTTTTTCTGGTGTTGTTTGCTTTCACATTCGTCTCTCTTTTCAGAATATCTGGCCCCTCTTCTTTTTCATTCTCAATTCCTCTTCCCACTCCACTCTGCCTTCTTAGCATAACTTTTTTTCCTTTTGGCATTCCTTGTTCTACATCTGGATTCCTGGACGGTTTATTTTGTCTGTTTCCTGAATTTCCCTCTTCTCCCATTTCTTATAGGTTTTTTTTTGGTTGTTATTCCTTTTCCTTCGACTTCAGTTCTTTCCCCTAAAGCTTTCCTTGGGCCACACAGGCTTTTATTCTTGTTCATCTGTTTAAGCAGTGCTGGCAAGAAGGAGGCCACAGCTGGCAGGCAGAGCCACGGTGGCAGAAGAGGACCTGGGTGTCTGAAGATTCTCCCCTAGCCCCAATATCCTTGGAAGAGGAACTTCCTTCTGGAGAGGGGGCTGGGACAGTGCTGCTCTGCCCCTGTGAGGGTTGACGTCGCCTGCCAGGCCCAGGATGAGGGTTGGGGGCAGATGGTGTTTCCTCCACGGTGTGTGGGCCTGGGCCCCGTTGCTCAGGGAGGAGATGGAATCAATCCTTCTCAGTGAACGGGTGGAGGACTCATCAGCTTCTGCCCAGAAAGGCTGAGGCTCAGGGGAGGTGCACCCATGGGGAACGTATCACTCGCAAAGCTCTGTGCTGAGGGTGGGAGGAGCTGCAGCATGGAGGCTGTTTCTTCGAGGGGTCTGGGTATCCTTTGATCATTGTTCTTGGCCTGAAACCGGCCTGGGCGTCTGGAGCTGTCTGCTGGGGGCACTGAGGCAATTTCCCCGCTGAAGGTCTTTCCTTCCCAACACCCCCTAGCCCAGGCCTGTGGGAGTTTTGAGGGCACAAGGAGAATGCAAGAAGAGGCTGCTAATTGGGAGGTGTCTTAAAGGCTCTTGGCCACTGGGAGCAACACAAATGCCACCTGTGGGAGGCCTTGAGGGTCAGCCTCGGTACTGGGAGAAGCAGGTGGCACTTCTTGGTGGGGGCGGTGGCAGAGAAATCCTAGAAGTTGCAGCCTCACCCCTCCTTGTCTGGAGTGATGGGGGAGGTGGGTGAGGAGCGTCCGGGCTCTGCTCCCCAGCTGTCTGAGGCAAATCGACTGGAGTCCATCTGGCTGTCCTCACCAGTCCAGGCTGGCGTCCCACCCTGGGCCATCAATGCCATTGGGTGCAGGTTGAGTCCTTAGCAGGCCCCGCTGAGGGGCGGATGCAGTAGTGCTCTGCCAGGGCACACCTGGGGCTGAGTTGCATTCTAAGGTGGAGGGGCCCCCGAGCACCAGGAGGCCACGCACTGAGCTGCTCTGTCTTTTCCTTGGCGCCGCTTGCTTCTCTGGAAGCACTACCAGGGCCCCGGGCTTTCTCCATGTCTTGCTTCCTTGCCAGGTCCTATCTGCTCCTCATCATCATCAATGCACAATGTTCTTTGCCACTTTAGAGAAGACTGTTGATTTATATCAAAGCTTGAGACAAACCTTTGCCTGTTTTATATTTTGCTTATCGTATGCTTACGTTTCTTAAGCCTCCAGTCCTAGAGTCCAACTCTTGGGTCCAGCATCCTTTAAGACCCCTAGAACCACAAGCCTCAGGAGTCCCCAGGCCCTTAATCCTGGGCCCTGTGGACTTGGTTTCTCTGGTTCATGGCAGGGCCTCCCTCCTTTTCTGCACAGAGGGCGAGTCTAGACCAGAGAACCATTAGGGGCTGGCTGTTGGATTTTCTTCTAAGTTCTCCATTCCACTCTGGAGGAGAGCAGGGGTTGGGGGGCAGGACCCAGCCTCTTTGATGTAGGAATTCAGGTGGAGATTAGGATCCGCAAGACTCTCGCCCTTCCCACCTGAGCCCAAAGCACACGCTCCTTCAATCTGCGGTCTCAGTGCTGCCTCGTTCCTGCCGCCTCCCTCTGCCCTCCCCCTTCCCACGCACCACGTTGTATAAATATTTACACCCCCGGGCTGGCAAGAATCTTTCTCCAGCTGCTTCCCTGGTCTCTGGGAGAGCTTGTTCTCTTACTGAACAGCTGCAGCAGATCTGGTTGCCTTTGGTCAGACAAGGGCAGGCCCCAGTTTGGGGGCCCGCGGTCCCCCTCTGGGGTGGAGGGTGCAGTTGGCGGGAGAAACTCAACTCTAAAGAAGTCACAGGGCTGTGGCAAAGATCCATGCTCTCCTCTGCCGGCTGCCTACTTGGCGACCCTCCAAGAACTGTCTGATCCTTGCTCTGGCTGGCGTGGTGGGTCCTGCTTCTCAAAGGAAAAGCTCCCCACGGTGGGGTCTGCCCCTCTCTGGGCTGGGTTTTGCTAGAGAGGCCTGGAGGATCATTAGAGCAAGCTGGCTGGTGCTAGGACAAAATCAGAACTTAGTGTACTTGCAAGCACTTTACAGTTTACAAGTAAGTGCTGGACCCTTGATCCTCCCTGAAGCAGATCCTCCACTTCAGAGCCGGAGAATCTTCATATCGGACCTCTTCCCAACTCCTGCTCCAGGCCATCCTCCCTCCCACCAGTCCTGGTTCAGTCTTTCTACCTGGGGGCTGAGGAGAGGAGAGGACAGATGCCTCTTTCTCCATCTTCCTTGGTGACCCAGCAAGCAGGAATTTGCCAAGGACTCAAACTGCCATTTGTTGGGCTCCCACAGGCCCGTCCCTGTGAGAGGTACTTCCCCATATTCTCATGTAATTATTCAAGTCTTAAGCCCAGCAGATTTTTTAGCTTCCTTGTGTGTTTCCGTTTCCTGCCCTCAGACAGTCACGACCCTGTAGCAGGGAGCTCTCACACAGCCCTGTCCTCTGGTCCTTTTGAAGTCAGCGGCACCTCCAAGAGCCAGCCAGTGGACACTGATCTCACCTGCCTGCACTGGGTGCAGGTCATGTGCTGCCGCCTCTCCTCCTGTGCCTCGGTTTCCCCCATGTCTGAGGGAGGTAATTAATCTGTGCACCACAGAGCATCCCAAATGCAGCACAAAAACAAGTTTTAAAAGGAAACAGGGTGGTTTCATTTGACTCTCTTTTCTACATATGGGGATGTGTGTGACAGAGAGACTGTTCAGGTATCAGGCACTAAGAAGAATGTGTGTTTGGTGCTTGGGGGGGCTGAGGAGGAGGAAGACAGGGGTAACAAAGCCTGGATTTTATCAAGTAGTGCAGCCACTGGGGGTGCAGGTATAGGAACGGGTAGGGGGTTCTGGTGGGGGCCAGGGACAAAGGCCCCAGTCTCTTCCTACACTCACACTTGTGCCAGGAAGCAGACAAGTAGATTCAGTCTCTCTGTCTCTGAGCTCAGGCTGCTGGGAGAAAAGCTGGTGTCAAAGGCGAAAGGCCTGGCACAGTGCTTGGTACTCAGTGGGTAGAGGGCCATCCCAAGGTGAGGCAGGGGCGGGGCGGGGCGGGCTGGGTTTGGCTTGCAGGGAAATGTGTGGAAAGAAAGTTAGAAAGCACAGCTCAGAGCCGTGCAGCTGCCAGATACTCCTGCTGCCTGCCTGCCTCCCCACCCCCAAAAGGTAAAACAAAACCCAAATAAAAGCCTGACCCGGCAGATATTAATACTCCAGAGCCGGGGCTGGTGCGCAGGCAGCCTCCCCCTTCTTCCCCCTTCTGTTTCTATAAGCGGCTGAAATAAATTTAGCGAAACAACCCCACCCGTCTGAGGGCCTAAGATTTTAGAGCAGTGGGACTTTTTACCCTGAAAGCCCCTGTTTTTCAGAGCTGAGAGCTTTTTGTTTAAATTCCCTTTGGGAATGGAATGCTCTCGATCTAAATCAATTATTTTACTGCAATCATCTATTCCTCACAGATAAATGCTTTGACACAGTATGGCTTGCTTTCTAGCCAATCTACAGATGCTCTACAGCTTAAAACAGTCAGCTCTATGGGGCCACTGCCTAGTTGGATCCATTGGAATATTTATTGTAACATTATTCTTCGAGATGTCTGTGCATGTTCGGCCAATTCCCTCTGTGGTCTGTTGTACAGGACAGTGGTTGTGACTGGTTACGCTACCAAAGTAGAGAGTTACTTATTGAGGGCCTACTGTGAGCTAGGCACTGTGCCAGGTACTGGGGGTTGAGCTGAGAGCAGAGAGAGCTTGCTCTCATGGACTGTCCATCCTGGTGGGAAGAGGGATGTCAAAAAGTTAGGTGACTACAAAAAACTGGCAACTAATATCATAATTAGTAGTAAGAGACTGAATGCTTTTCCTTAAGGTTGGGGTCTAGGTGAGCGTGTCCACTCTTGCCACACTATTCAACATCATACTGGAAGTCCCAGACACAGCAATAAGGCAAGAAAAAGAAATTCAATGCACAAGAGTGGAAAGGAAGTAATTAAACTATTCCTGTTCACAGACAACATGATTGTCTAGGTTAAAAAAAAATCCAATAACAAAACTCAAGGAATCCACGAAAAAACCTTCTCAAAATTAAAGAGACTTTTGTAAGATGACAGGATACAAGGTCAATACACAAAAATCAACAGTATGTCTATAAACTAGCAATGAGAAATTGAAAACTGAAATTAAGAAAAAATTACAATACAGATGGCCCTTGAACAACACTGGTTTGAACTGTGCAGGTCCACTTATTTTTTTCAATAGTAAATACTACAGTACTACGTGACCCAAGGTTGGTTGAATTTGCAGATGCGGAATCGCAGATATGAGGAACTGTGCATATTCCAGAGGGCCAACTATAAGTTATATGTGGATTTTTGAATGTGAGGAAGGTCAGTGTCCCTAACCTTTGCGTTGTTCAAGGGCCAACTGTAGTTCCAAAAAAGGAGAGGGGGTGGACATTAGGTATAACTCTAACAAAACAAATCTAAGATCTTTGTGCTAAAAACTATAAAACACTGATTGAAGAAATCAAAGAAGACCTAAATAAATAGACATATCATCTTCATGGATTAGAAGACACAGCATAAATAAAGATGTTACTTCCTGAACTGATTTATGGACTTAATGCAATTCCAATAAAAATCACAGCAGGATTTTTTTGTTGTTATAGACAAGCTGAATCTGAAATTTACATGAAAAGGCAAAGGAACTAGATTAACTAAAACAATTTTGAAAATTAAGAATAAAGTTGGAGGAATTGTACCACCTGATTTTAAGACTTAACTATAATGTTACCATAATCAAGACTGTGTGGTATTGGCGAAGGAATGGACACACAGATCAACGGAACAGAATAAAGAGACTCATACAAATATGATCAACTGAATTTCGGATAGGTACAAAAGCAATTCAATGGAAAAATGACACTCTGTTCAATAAACAGTGTTGGGATTGGACTTCTATAGGCAATAAAATTGAGCTTCATCAAAACCTCCCATTTTATATAAAAACTAACTCCAAATTCATCGAAGTGTAAAACACAAAACTACAAAACTGTTAGAAGAAAAATAAATGACCTAGGGTTAGGTAAAGAGTCCTTAGATGTGTCACCAAAAGCATGATGCATAAAAGATAAAACTGATAAGTTAGACTTCATCAAAATGAAAAACTTCACTCTGTGAAAGATACTTTGTTCAGAGAGTGAGAAGATAAGGTATAGACTGGAGAAAATATTTGCAAATCACTTATTCAACAAAAGCCTACATCCAGAATATATAAAGAACCCCCAAACCTCACCAGTAAAAAAACAAGCAACCAGATTAAAAATGGGCAAAAGACTTGAACCCATATTTCACCAAAGAGGAAATACAGGTGGCAGATAGGCACACTAAAAGTTGTTTAACATCATTACCCGTTAGAGAAATGCAAATTAAAACCACAATGAGATACTACTACACATCTGTTAGAGTGAATAAAATAAAAAATACTGACAATTATAAGGGCTGCTAGGGATTCAGAGCAACTGGAAACTCTCACATACTGCTGTTGGAGATACAAAATGGTATATCCACTCTCAAATATGATCTGGCAGGTTTAAAAAAAAATAAACTTCAATATACACTTACCATATGACCCAGCAATCCCAGTCCTACTTACTTACCCTAGAGAAATAAGAACTTATGTTCACACAAAAATCTGTACACAGTGCTTACTGCAGCTATATTCACAATAGCCCTAAACTGGAAATAATCCAATGTTCTTTAACACGTGACTGCTTGTGTATACAAGTGTATACACCACTTATGTGTGTAAGTGGTGGTGCACCTATATAGTGAAATACTATTCTTCAATTAAAACGAATGAACTATTGCTACCTGCAACAACATGGATAAATCCCAAAGGCATTATGCTCTGTGAAATCATACAGACTGTATGATTCTAGTTGTATGGCATTCTGGAAAAGACAAAATGACAGTATAGAGAACAGATCAGCAGTTGCTAGAGTAAGAGATGGGGGAGGGTCTGACTATAAAGCGAGAGCATGAGGGAGTTTTTTGGGGTGATGGAATTGTTCTGTTTCCTGATTGAGGTGGTGATTACATGAACCTATTCACGTGTTAAAATTCATAAAATTGTACACCAAATAAAGGTCAATTTTATTGTATGTTAAGTTAAATAGTAAAACAAAAGTTCAGGAATGAACAAATAGTTACAAATTGAAATAACTACTTTGAAGGAAGTGAACGTTCCATAAGGACAGAAGAGAGAGGTCAGACACCTTGCCCTGAGGGGGCAGGGGGGTGCCAAGAATGATTGAGGAAGTGATGCTTGAGCTGGGTTCTGAAGAATGATTTAGAATTTACTTGGGCCAAAGGAAAGTCAATTCAGATAGAAGAAATGGCATGTGTCAAGGCCCTGGGGCAGGAGGAAGGGTGGTTCATTTTCATCTGAAACTGACTAGAGTACAGGGAATGCCTGAGGAGGGGTAGAAAAGGTGGTGGTGGGAAGAGGAGGGGTATGAAAGTCAAGACTGGAGCATTAAAAGAGTCTGATTATGCTAGACTAAGGGTTTTATTTTATTTTATTTTTTAATTTTTTTATTGAAGTACAGTCAATTATGTGTCAATTTCTGACGTGCAGCAAAATGTCCCAGTCATGCGTATGCACACATATATTCATTTTCTTCTTTTTTATTTTTTGTTTTTATTTTAAAAGGGGTAAGTAGCAAGGGTTTTAGGCAATTGTAACACAAGATCAGATCTAGTTTTGAAAAAAATTACTTGGACTGCTGTAAGAGAGGGTTTGCAGGGTATGCAGGAATCTTGGAGTTAGAAATAACTTCTAAAATAGAGTTTCTCAGTCTTGGTACTGTTGATACTTTGGGCCAGATAATTTTTTGTTGTGGGGGTGTGTGGGAGGTTGGCCCGTGCATTGCAGGATGTTTAGCAGCATTCCTGGTCTCTACCTTCTAGATGCCAGTAGCACTGACCTTTACCCCTCCAGCTGTGATAGACTAAAATATCTCCAGACATTGCCAAATGCTCACTGCAGGGCAAAATCACCCCTGGTTGAGAACCACTGCTCTAAAGCAACCAAATCCAGTGTTTCTGGTTTCATAATAGAGTCATCTAGGCAGCTTAGAGAATACAAATACTGGGCCTCACCCTAGACCAATTGAAGCAATATCTTTGGAGATGGGGTGGGACCTGGCAATGAGCATCTGCATATTTTTAAAAGCTCAGAGTGATGTTTGATCACCACCGGCCTAGTCCAACCTTCTCCATCTATAGCTCAGAACACTGAAGCCTAGAGTAGAGAATGATCCACTGAACTGGAGCACTGGAATCCAATTCCCAACTCTTAGCTGGGTGCTCATTCCACTGAACCGTGTTGCCTCTTAACAGCTGCGCAGAAAATGTCCTGGGCAGACTGTGGAAGCCCAGCCTCCCTGAGTTACCTTCTGAACATCCCAGTGTTAAGGCTGCAGAGCCCAAGCCTTCCCTCCCTCCCATCCCTGGAAGTCTTGCCTGTTTCTTTTTCTACTCCTGCTGTTAGATTCCTGGTGACCGAAGTGTCCTAATGGGTTCAACAGCAAGGGTTCAGTGAAAACTGAAAAAACGTACTGAGCACCTACACTGGACTTACTCTGGAGGCCCAGGTAATAGAGAGGCCTGGCCTTCAGGAGTTTATAGTCAAGTGGGGAGTAAACAGGTAATTTCCATAAAATGCTGGAGTGCTGCAGGCTGCTGTGGCACCAATAGGAGAGAGGCATTTTGCCTGCTGGGAAGCTGCCCCAGCAAAAGGAAGCCCCAGGGAGGGGTGTGCAGCAGCCATCAGCAACTGCCAGCAGCTTGGAATTACTGCAGGGAAAACAGCCATCTGACCTAAGCACTGTCTGTAAAGGGCTTCACCTTCCTGACCACCCCAGAGGCTAAGTGACCTGCTTGAAGTTGTGCAACTTGTGACCAATTGGCAGAGTTGGGGCTTCCCTTCAAAGTCTAGGTGGCTCAAAACTTCTGGGCTGTCCTATCCTTTGTTTCTAGGCAGGCTCTGGCAAGGCGGGCTATAGAGGGGTGGTACAGCTGTGGGCTAGCCTGGGAACTTAATGGAACAGTGGGGCATCTCTGTAGGGAAAGTGTTAAACAACTGACCTAAGAATGAGGGTTTAGATATCCCACTGCAAAGCGATGAGACTCCTCCAGGGCCGAGCTATTCCTGGGGTTGGATCCTCAGCCTTAGGAGGTGGTGGGCTCCCTGAGCTACACCCTCGAGGTTCCAGACACTGCGCAGAGCTGCATTTACAGTAGACCCTCAACTGCCCTCTCTTGAAGCCTCTGCCTGGTTCAGGGGATACTGGCCACTGAACTGGGCCCACTAAGCACTGTGAGGGGCTTGTGGACATGGAGAGATAGAAAGATCTGGCTTTTACTGGCTATCAACAGGGCCCTGGTGATCTAGTTTTCAGAAATATTTGTGACAACAATCAGGTATTTTTCACTCGGACAGCAGGTTTGCACTACCTCATCCTGACTCACCTTGCTCTTCCCCAGTGCCCTCTCCCATTTTCCAGGCCTCAGGGCCTGCCTTGTCGAGGGCTGGGGCTGGGGTCAGAGAGTGATCCAGATCAAAGCTGTCGGCTGACCATTTCATGGATCTCTATAGTGAAAAATTTCTTAAAGAGAATACTCCCAGAATTCATTTTGTACTGTAATAAGGCCCCAAGAATGGTTTCGTTTACATGCAATGGCAAGGCATATACAAGGGTTCTGCTAGGCACGAAACTAGGCAGTTTATTGGCCAATTTTAGGTAGTATTATTATTGCTATTTTAGAGGTGAGGAAGCTGAGGCTTTGGCCAAGGTCTTGAAAAGTCACACAGCTAGAAAATGGCAAAGCCATCCCAAATGGTGCAACTTCAAAGTCCTGGACCACTGATTCTCAAACAATGTTTGAGTCACTAAGAGGACACTTACTAAGAATGTAGATTCCTGGTCCCACCTCAAAGCATCTGATTCACTGGGCCTGGATCCAAGCTGAGGAATCTGCATTCCATAAGCACTGCAGGTAAATATGAACCAAGTAACTCTCCTGGTTCAGGGCAGCACTTGGCCCTTCCTCCCTATCTTTCTAATCCAGGAACCTTGCCATTGTCTCAGGGTCTCAGGTAGCAGAAGTTGGGATAAAGGACGGGGCCTCATCAGAAGAATCTGGGTCTTTTTTGCAAATAACCTGAAGCCGGGGAGGAAGTGCAACATCGCAGGGCTCTGCTATGGCAGGTCCTGTGCTGCAACCAGGGCCAGAAGGGGGCTCTGGAGAGGGAGTGCCTTGGACGGCATTGGTGACAAGGCCTGGCCATCAAGGGGTCAGCGGCCCGATGCTCCACACACTCACCTGCCGCGAGGTGCGCCCAGACTGGACGATGAATTTATCTGTCGCGCTTCCCTAATTCCGAGGACTTTCACTTTCCCCCTTTCACAAAACCTAACACCCCTAAGCCAAAAATACCTGGCTAGCCCCTTCTCGAAAGGGGATCGGCTCCGTGCGAGCGGGGAGGGCCCGGAAGTCGGGCCTGGGACGGCGGACCTGGCCCATCTCCTCCCGGTCGGAAGAAGCAATGCAGGTGAAGGGGCGGCCTCTCCGGGCCCGGCGCGAACGAGGAAGCCAAAGGCTGAGGGCAGAGCGCAGGAGGCGGGGGAGGGTCGCGCGCGCCTCCCCTCAGGCTTCCTGCCCGGGTCTTGGTTCGCTGCTGTTCCCGCCACCACCGGGCACCTGCCGAGAACGTCCAGGCGGGGGCAGGAGGGCTCTGGGCTTCCCTGGCCGGCTGGACTCTGCTCCCCGGCCCGCTGGGGCGCGGATGCCAGGTCAGCGAAGGGTTAAGGAGGCCGGCTCCCTTACCCTTGGAAAGTCCCCGAAATGACGTCGCAACCCGACAATTAAAAAAAGAGTTTAATTATAGAGACAGGCTCTGGGAGCTGGGACAAACCCGGTCGGTCGGTGGGGCCGGTAAACAACTCTTGAGCGAGCGGGACAGGCTGGACACCGCCCTCGGAACCCGCGGCCCCGGGAGCGGGGGAGGGTAGCGCCCTCCGGGAGTTGGAGAAGCGGAGGAAATTCGAGGAATCGGCATTCTCTTTGGGGGTAGTCTTTTTAGCCAGTCTGGGACGCCCAGGCCCTATGATGGTGCTTTAGGCCGGTCCCGCAGCCGCAGAGGAAAAGCGGCGTCACCGAGAGAGGGGGACATCGGGTGCGGGTCCGGGTAGACCCTGGGCCCCGCCCGCTCAGGGTCCCCTTCCTCCTACCCCCTCGCGTTCCATCCCCGTTTCTTCGCCCCTCCCCCGTTCCCCCCAGCAGAGCTTCGCGAACCCTCTAGATTTAAAAACCAACGGGTCCTTTGGTGGGAGGGGTGGGTAGTGAGGGAATCAGAAACCGAAATAGCTTCACATCAGGACGTAAACTAACCTTGTGGTTTTAACGCGCACCCTACTCTGTCCTGAAATCTGGAACTCATTACCTCATCACTAACAAACTGCACCAAAAGCTCCCCCCCAACTCCGTCTTGGGAGTGGGGAAGAGAGTGAGCAAACATCCCTTTAAGAAAAAAACTTACATTTGAATGATTTAAATTAAGGTGGATGGAAGTTATTTCCCTTTCTGGCGCTTGCCAGATTTCAAGAAAAGCTGAAAAATGGGAGCGGGGGAGGGAAGCAACAGGCGGCTGGACAGCAAAAGAAGAAAAAGAAAGGGGCAGCGGCCGGTTAAAAATGGGGGCCATCAATTTAAGTCAGAGGGGACAAATAAAAGCAGACCGGAAGGGGGATCACGTAGGTTTGTGCTGCAGCAAAAATTTTGTGTTTGGCGAAGATGAAAAACAACAGGTTCCTAAAACAGTTGTGATTTGGAAGTTTTCCGGATTTGCTCAATGAGGAATAAGTAAGACATGCAGTGAAGAGTGTGTGCGTGCGTGTGCGCGCGTGTCGAATAAATAAAACATGCAGTGAAGTGTGTGTGTGTGTGTGTGTGTGTGTGTGTGTGTGTGTGTGTGTGTGTGTGTGTGTTGAGAGTGCGACTCCTGCGCTCTGCTCGGCTCGCCGCGTCCTTTCCAAAGAAACGTGCTCATAATGGGGTGACCTAATTACATCGCAATGGAACCCGCTCTGAACCATTCAGCGCACAGGGTTTCATAACAGACCCGGCGGCCTCGAGTGCTGGGAAGAAACGTGCGAGGGCCGAGGAGGCGGTCGGGCACGCGGGGAAACAGGAAAGAACTGCAGCCTCGCGATTTCCATCGCGGTCTCCACTCCAGCACCTCAGCGGAGGCTGAGGAGGCGGTGGGAGACACGTTAACAACTTTATATGTGGGTAGGTGGAGGGGCATCCGAACCAATGAGTAAATAAATATATACTTTCCAGTTTTCAAAGGAGTAATAATCAGTTGGGGGCCTTTCTGTTTAGAGGATCCCGTACCTTCCGCCCCCCCCGCCCCCATGCCGCCAAAACAGCGCAGTGTGACAAGCCATATGTTCCGTTCCTGCGGGGGAGAAACAACAATAAGTTAAGCGTCGCCTCCCCCATCTCTTTACCTTTATTCTTACCAAAGTAACTTTCAAAAAATTGTTTAAGCGTCTAGGGGTGTGAATATTGGTAGGGGGAGTTTCGACGAGGCCCAGGGTTCAGAGCAGGCGGAGAAAGTTGTGCGTTGTTGGGTGGGTTTTCTTGGGGGGGGCAGTGAAGGGGCGTTCATGAGCAGTCAGGTTTTCTTAACAAAAATGTTTAAAGATTGATGCAGGAAATAAATACCACTCCCAGGCCTGTTAAAACAAACAACCCTCCCGGGCGGTGGTCTTTTTCGCGACACCCCCGCTCTGGCCCACACTCGGACGGCCTTCGCTGCAAAGCGAGCGCGAGTGTAGACGCGTGCGGCGAGCTTAATCACTCTGTTCGCCCCCGCCAGGCCAGATCTTACCGGGTAGGGGGAAGTCTCCCTACTCCTTACCCCACAACGCTAACCCCGGCCCCTGGAAAAAAAAAACAAAACCCTAGAGTTAAACGCTTTGTGCACCCCAAATTTCCAATCTCTTCTCCCCGCGGGGTTTGCGGAGGGGGCTGAGTGCGGAAGGGAACTCAGGAAAAGAGTAAGTTGTGCGGCCACTTGGGGAAGTTTCAAGGGAGATCTGCTCAAGATGGAAACCGCAGCCCAGGCGCTAAGGACGGGCTTCTGCTCCCGCTTGCAAAAAGAGAAAGTCGAGCCCGCCTTCCTGCCCGACAAAAAAACAACAACACAACAACAAGAACCCCGAAGAGGGTGGAATGAGTGATGTCACACAGCCGCGGTAGCAGGCTGACAAAGGGGGGGTGGCCCCCCCCGCCCCGTAGCGAGCGGCCCCAGAGAGGGGCGCTTCCAGCGCGGGGTAGCCAAGCGAGCGGACTCGAAACTTTTCCTCTTTAAGAAAAAAAAGTTGTGTGCGACTCTCAGTGGGTTTTTTTTCTCTTCGCCTTCTTTCCTCGTCTCCCCTCCCCCTTCTTCCTTTTGAAAGTTTCCCTTTTTTTTCTCCCGAGTTTGACCGCATGGCTGATTCAACTTGAGTGTCAATCAACTTTTTTCCTCCTCTTCCTTATTTAAATAAGTTTAAAGCTCCTCCTCCCCCTCCAGCCCACCAAATCTGAAACTTATATAAATTGGGCTTCGCGCGCCCCAACCCGGGAGTCAGAAAGGCGAGGGGCGCAGGGAGCAGGCGTGTGGGACTCCAGACCGCAGAGCCGGAGGCTGCGCCTTCCCCGCACCGGGACCTTCACGGCACGCCAGATCCTCGTCCCTGCCCTGTGTGAGCGCCCAGAATGACCACCACCCTCGTGTCTGCCACCATCTTCGACTTGAGCGAAGTTTTATGCAAGGTAAAGTTGGGCGGAGTGTTTGCTTTTCAAAGTCTTTTTCTTTTGTCCTCAAAAAGAACCCCCAAAAGTTTAGATCTGGGAAGGCAGGGGTAAGAGGAGAGGTGAGATGGTTGTTTTCTCCGCCGCATTTTCCACCCCCTACCCCAGTTTGAAGGAATTTGGCTCTCCTCCCCACCCTTCGAGTTTTAGCAGTTCCTGGCAGGGATTACATGGGAATCTGGAGACCAGAGTTTGGAAGTTTGGGGGACAGAGTTTGCGTGGGGCTTCCCGGGGGACGCAGGGCATTGACCGTGATTGGGGCAGTTTTTCTTTCATTCTTTCGTCCGTAACGTGCTGTTTTTGAGCCCATTTTCGCTAGTCGGCTCGGTTTCCCTGGGCGCGCTCTGGGTGTCGCCGCTGCCGGGAGGGGTTTGAGTCTCTCCAGCCACATTGCCCGACTGTGGGTCGGGAGGTGGGGGTCCCTCGGGAAAGCGAGTCTCAGGACGACGTTTTGGTAGATTTCCCCGTCTGTTTTGGAGAGGCTGGGATCTGCGAGAAAAGGGCCGTGAGTTGTGATTCAAAGGAGTCTGCAGTGGGACTTCAGTTCGCCCCAGCCCGGCCAGACTTCCTCCTGTAATAGCCGATCGTGCTGCAAACTTTGGGGTGAAAATGAAACTCGGGTTCACCCCTGTTACTTGTTTTTCGAGACACCTCGACTCGTCCATGCGGAGGGGATGGGGGGACACGACGACAAAATACTGGTTTGAGCACAAGGTTCTCGAGGAGGAAGGGTCTAATGGGGGCCTGCTGAAGACGTGTAGCTTGCTAGCCAGTGTGGAAATGAGCAAGTTTTAAATCCGGGATGTTCCAGGAGTGCGGTTTACGTGTACCGAACAGAAAGCCTGTGGATGTTAAAATTTTTCGCCCCCCCCCCCCAGTTTGAAAGAGGGAAGCTGCTAGGCTACTTATAATTGCCGAAGTGTTTTGCCTTCTTTTAAACACGTCGGGTCATGTTGCGCTCTTTTCCCAGCTTGCTTCTCCAGTCGGTGCAGCTGCCAGGGCCCCAGGGCTGCAGGGTTGGGGCGCAGGGACACCCTGGAGCTGAAGAGTAACATCAGAAAAGTGTGAATTTCAGCTTCCTTCCCTGCGCTTTCCCAAACTCCAGTCGCCCTGGCGGCTGCCTGAACTCTCCAGCACTTCTTCCCTCTCTTCCCGGCTCTCCCGCTCTTTGATCTGTTCCTCTCTTTCCCCCTCTCCCCCTGCAGGACTTTTTAAATGAACCTCATTGTTGGGAACAGGCTCTCAACTTGGTTCCTGTAATCCGCTCCGTGGGGTGGTTGCTGTTACAGATTCCCGATCCCCCGCAGCTGATCCTAAGGGACCAGCTTTAGAATCTGCACAATGACACCCACTTAGGCTAGGAGCCAACTCCCAGGTCCCCTGCTCACAGCCTTTCCAAATCTTGAGTACCGTTTGGGCAGGTGAGCAGGGTCCCCTTGGAAGACAAACCTGCCTGCGGTGGCTCTGCCTCCCTCCCCCAAATCCATTACTGACTGGGAGGTGGGTGGGGGGATGTGGTGCTTTTCTTTTCCTTCCCACCTGCAGCTTTGCGTTAAAGATTAAACACTGGCGCTCTTATCCAAGTCTGCCCTCGCAGCCAGGAGACTAACTGCAAAGGCATCTTCCCAGCGGAGGGGGGTGGGGTGGGTGGTGAATGGTGGGAGAGATCATTGTAGAAGGCATCCCTTCTGGGAGCATGAGGCAGTGAGTTACGTTTGGGAATCACCTCCCACCCCCACCAGGGATTTCTCCTCCTGCCCCTCCCTCTCCCCTTCTCCTCAGCAAGGTAAACCAAAGGCAGTCTGGAAACCTGTTGCCAAAGGAGGGGAACACTTCTGAAGGAGGAAGTTGAGAGTCTTAGGCCAAGTCGTCGGGCATGAGGTGGGGGGTGGTCAATTAAGCAGGGACTGATTAAAAAGAGACCTAGCTCATAGTCGGTCTCCTGAGGTTTACCTGTTTT